AGTAAAATGTATTCTTCCTTGCATTTATAAACTTAATTTATAATCTTTTGACCACCACAATTTTTTTTAAAAATAAGCATATATATATAAATAAGTAATTATGCCGTAGGAAAGCTTCTTCTAAATAAAGCGAATGTTTTTGCCTAAGATAGTAATTTCATTTTACTACCTCTGGGGAAAATCATACTCGAAAGGATTAAAAGTTGCCAGGTATGAATTTCTTATACACGGAAAAGTGACATTCATCAGTAACGAGTTATAAAATTGAAAATATATATTCAAACAACGAAGTGATATAATTTTTAGAATATTATTATTCAGTATACAAAATGAATATGACAGACAGAATGCAAATAGCACAGTCAAAATGCTTGTTATTAAAACTAACTAATGTACAATTAATCTTATCTCATATTTCAAAATTAATTATATATCCTTTCACTTACAGTCGAAAAGAAAAAAACAATTAACAAAAATATTCAAAAGGTGACTAGAATTTCTAACAGGTGTGTTTATTCCTGCAGGTGGGATTTGCGTCACTGCTTGCGTAAATGACGGATTATGTCATCGAATCTTCTCCCATTTATTGACAAACCTGCTTTCCTTCACGAAAATTTCTGTATAAAAGTGAGTTAAAGACTTCGAATAGACATACAGTCGAACTTTTCCGAAGACTTGGTTCAGTCGACTTTCTCTAGAGATTTTGTTGTGTGTTCACAGCAAGTTTACTGTTGGATTGGTTAAATTGCTTTTGGTTCCTTTTCTGATCGCAATTCAGTTGCAATTTTTTGTTTGCTTTCGCGCGGTGTGAGGTTAAAAATATGAGTGCTACCCCAGAAATCATGCAACCTTACGGCAACCTTGCATCGGAATTTTCTTTTTATTGCCACTAAAATGTTTATACTAAAAACCTTTTTTCAATGAAGCAAAAATATTGCAGTCTCAAACCTTTCATCCTAAAAAGACTTAAAAATTATTTTTTAAAGCTTTTTCAAATAGTATTGTCACATAATTCAATAATGACGCCTTAGCTGACGTCACACTAGCGATAGGATCAAATTGCATTGTCCATTAAAATTTCGTGACAAGGTGGATTTCACCAGAGCATACAAGATTTCGCGAAAAGAAACCTTATAATTACCTTGATTTAAGATTATTTTCACCTTGAGACTAGCCTTATTCAAGGATTTTTCCATGCTTGAAAACCCTGTCAACCTCGATTTAAGGTTTTTATACAGAAGGTTGTTTTCCAAGGTTTTGGATTAGGGTAATGTGCACAGAATAGCTAGTGTGACGATTGTCACAGATCTCGTTTTAAGTTAGAAGGTTTACACGTAAACCGTATTGCAAACCTTACTATGCTTACATTAAAAGGTTTTTGTTGAGAGAAAATAAACCTTATTTTGCTATCTGAGACTGTTTATTATGACCCAAAATTTTAATGGTAATTTGGTCTCGTATGATAATGTTTCAATCAGAACTCTTTCAGGATTATTTTTAAAATTAGTTAACATATCAAACAGTTTACATTTATGCTTCAAAAAAAATACATTTCAGAATTATCATTAACAAATATTAAAAAATGTTTCGAATTAATAAGGAAATCAGTATTAATTGGACTTGCTAAATTAGCATGTATCAACTTTAAAATAGAATTTCCTTGATCAACATTTATTTTAGGATGATGTTAGTGTTTGTTATAGTGTTTGTGATGTTTCGATCTCAAAATCAGCGGACTATGACACACATAATAATTTATTTACAAATTTAAAGTCATAAAAATAGACAAGATAATTGTGATAGGGAGCTGCGCCCTGTTCCAGAGTTGAATGGCAACTGAAAGATGTCGACATGAGCTCCGCCTCCTGACATAATTTGACAATTCTTAACACTCCCCGCCGATTGGATGTTTAAATCCAATAATTATTAATTACAATTATTGTATACTGTAAAATAAAATGAAGGATTGACAATAATATTTATACAAAATCATTAAATATACATAAATGTAATTCTAACTTTAACAGTTATAATGAAATTTTAACACAAGAATCAATACACAGGTAAGATACAAATATTGCGTACTATTGCTCTTGCTGTTGTAGTTCATTTACGCCACACTTGAGCTGCACAATGGGCTATTGGCGACGGTCTGGGAAATATCCCTGAGGATGATCCGAAGACATGCCATTACAATTTTCTCTGCAAAGGGGATGGCACCCACGCTTTGGTAACCCGACGATCTGCAAGCGAAGTCGAGCACTTTACGGTAGAACAGTTTAACGAGGACCCATACCGCACACCCTCGGTCCCTAAGCAGACTAATCCAAGTGGTCACCCACCCGCACACTGACCGCATCCGGTGATGCTTGTCTTCGGTGATCTGCTGGGAACCGTGTCTTAACGATCAGTCCACTGCAGGACATATAGCGCACTGATCTTTTAAGTATGTTGCCTCGTGGCAAGCGTATGTTAACAACTTTTACCTTCCCATCACTTCCCTTAAATATTTCCTCAATTCTTCCTGTTAAACATTTAGTGCCGCGTAAGTTTTCTTCTGAAGTCCCAATCTTAACGTTACCTTTGCTAAATTGTCATTTGTGGCCTGCTTGGAGATTACTTGAACAATTACTTACTCTCTTCCAAAACTTCCAAAGGTTTTGAGAAATCTTTTCCCATTTACTTACTTTTCCATTTACCGTAGACTTAAATAGGGTTGGTTATTGAGCAAACGCTATAAGAACGGAAGTACCCAGAAAGACCGCAATATTAAAAAAATTTCTTATATATAAAATTTAACCAAATTGAAATGGTGCTAAGACGTGTTTTAAACATGTAAAAAATGCTTTTCGACCATTATTAGAAATTCAACCGTGAATAATTGTGCGATTTCAAAAAAATTGACAACACGACGACTTAAATAGTGTTTCTTTTTCTTTCTTTCTTTTCAGTTTTCTTTTTTTTTGTTTCTCTTTTTTATTTATTTTTTTGACATGAATTGCACTGGATAAATGTTTTTCTTGTCGGATTGAATTAGCAAACAGGTCATTATATAGCGTATTTAATATCAAGTAATTTTCAATCCTCTTCACAAATATATCTGGAAAATTAATTGTGGATGCTTATTTTCTAAGTAATTTCAATCTTCTTATCGGATTGGTTTAATAAACCACTCATAAAAGCTGTTATAAAAATGCATGTGCGTTTTTAGCTGTATAATAAAAATACTTATGTTCTCATAAAATTTACATAAATCTTCCAATTGTATAAAGTAATTTTATAAAATTTAACTTCTATTCACTTCGGTTTTGTTTGAATTCATATTAATACTGCGCTACGTGTTGGTTTGATTTAATAACTAAATTTATTTTAACAAATATTGTAGAGATGCGTCGTAAATTTATGATTCTGGCTCTACATTGTATCATAAAAGTAACTTCATTTATCCGTTCTTGTCCTTGACTCTATGTTAAATCTAAGCGAAAAAAATTCATTTTATTTTGGCTCTTGATCAATAAGAGAATGTTACCCATGTGCCGTAACTTTCCAACGAAGCTAGATAACAGGAATTCTACTTTTTATCAAATAGAATATCAATATTCTGCTTACATTTCTATGGACTATGTTTAAAATGGTGGTTTCTTTAAATGGTTAGGTAGAAAGTCTTTAAATGGTTAAATGGAAAGTAGATTGTGGTTAAGTAGTTCTTTTCTTGATGATAAGGGTCCCGCAGTGAAATGATCATAAAGACGCTGTTCTCAGAAGAACACCAAAGTCAAGGGTGCGATCAGTAAGTGAGTGGGTGACCACTTTGATCATCCTAAAATTATTTCTGATATTTTTGATGATGTTTTTCACTGTACACCCATTATACCTGCTTCTAGATTCGCGATGTCTCAGGGGATAGAATGTTCGCCTTCTAATGAGAAGAACCGGGTTCGAATCCCAGCAATGTCTGGTCGATACGAATTTCGCATCCAGCTTGCACCGATCACAGTTCTGACGCAAACTATCCTCAGTGGTAGACGGATCATGGGTTAGAGTCCCCTTGCCATCAGGCTAACAGTGGAAGGTTCTCGCGGTCTTCCTCTCCATGTAACGCAAATGCAGTTTAGTTCCATCAAATCCACGAAGGCACATTTCCCCCAGTCTTTGATCCAGGAGTTCCCTTGTCTTCTGGATTGGGTTCAAAATAACAAGGCTGCGTAGTTGAACATTCGTATTCGTAAACCCAAAAATTGGGTCGACTGTTTAACAACGGATCTAATACTTGTTTCTTATCTTTCCCCTTTTTTTATTGATAATCTTGTTTAAACTTGTTTAACATTACCCTAGTGCTCATTCTTTTTTTCCCGTCTGTAAACTGTTTTTTTTTTTCGGTTCCCTCCCTTATTTTATATTTCGACTTGGCGGAAAGTTTATTCGTTAAAGAACCGAAACTAATTGTTCTTTCGTCTTGTTGTTCAGCTCTACTAAGTTATGATATAAAGATTGTACTCTTCTTCACTATAAACATGCAAAAATTCTCAAATATAACTATTAAAAAAAAACGATATTTTCATGATAATGTAATTCTTACATGACATTATTAAGAGACACAAGCCATTTAATATTCAATAATTATGTAAATAAACATAAAGCACTTAATACAAGTATAAATATCTACAAGCAATGCAAAAACATGTCAACACATAAAAACTATAAATAAAATTCATACATTTTTGTAATATAATTAATTTTAATTTAATTTGTATCGTTAAAGAATGCAGACACATTTAGCGCCATTTATGTAATTCAAATTAACAATTATAACGTTTACAAGAGTTCAAGTAGGAGGTCAACTTTATATATGAGGAATATAACAAAATAATGTCGAACAACTTACTTAATTAAAAAAAAACTGAACAATATTAATTACGTTTAAAATTCTTCGATAATCATATTTTAAAAACAAACAATTCATATTTTTATTTATAATTATTAATATAATATAGTTTTCATTCTGCTTCTTTTAAATTCAATATCAAAACTTATTTGAAGATATCAAAATATACAATTTTCCTTTATGGTTTCGTAGCAATTCACATGAACGTATGATACTGGTTGGAGAGCTGAGAGCTGTAAGTTCGATTCTGACAGCTGAAGAAACAGCCACGCAGTAAGATGCAGGTTAAATCAGTCGTGACTGAAAGTCCATTCGTTGGTTGCGGTGTGGAAGTTTAGAGAGAGGGTACCAGCTCAGTAGCTTTCCACGTCATGTTATCAAGGTCAAAATTACGTTGCATTCCGACCATGGCTGTTAAAAGATAGATGAGGCTTGGATGTAGTTGCGTGGTGTGAGAAAGTATACTAAAGATTGAAAAAAGAATTAAAATTTAAAGACATGTTTGCTTAATTAACAAAAAGTAATATACAGGGTAAAATATCATGTTCCCCATACAGCAGAGTAAAAAAAAATAAGTAAACAAATTATACAATAACAGTTATAAAAAGTAAACAAATTATACAATAATACTGTTATATCGTTATGATTTAAATATATATATTGAATGAAATAAATAAAAACATGAAAGAGTGATCGTATTAGTGAGATGTTGTTCAAATTAATTACCTGACCCCTCGTNCATTCTGCTTCTTTTAAATTCAATATCAAAACTTATTTGAAGATATCAAAATATACAATTTTCCTTTATGGTTTCGTAGCAATTCACATGAACGTATGATACTGGTTGGAGAGCTGAGAGCTGTAAGTTCGATTCTGACAGCTGAAGAAACAGCCACGCAGTAAGATGCAGGTTAAATCAGTCGTGACTGAAAGTCCATTCGTTGGTTGCGGTGTGGAAGTTTAGAGAGAGGGTACCAGCTCAGTAGCTTTCCACGTCATGTTATCAAGGTCAAAATTACGTAGCATTCCGACCATGGCTGTTAAAAGATAGATGAGGCTTGGATGTAGTTGTGTGGTGTGGGAAAGTATACTAAAGATTGAAAAAAGAATAAAAATTTAAAGACATATTTGTTTAATTAACAAAAAGTAATATACAGGGTAATATATCATGTTCCCCATACAGCAGAGTAAAAAAAATAAGTAAACAAATTATACAATAATAGTTATAAACAAGTAAACGAATTATACAATAATACTTTAATTGATTTTTCTGGCGAAAAAATGGAAACTAAAGAAACTGATACCAATGAAATTGTTCTAAATAACGAGAGAAAAATTGATAATGATATCCTTGAAATAAACTAAGAGGTTTTAACTAATCTTCTTTTTGTTAAAAAAATGGTAAAATGATCGAACAATTTATATATATATTAAAAAAGAACTACAACTGATTGAACGAAATTTCCTTTACATTAAAACAGCAATAAAACATCTGATTAAACAAATTCCATTACATTTAGTTATTGACTTTTCTGACAAAAAAAAGAAAAAATTGAAAATAAAGTAAGTCATCGATGAAATTAATTTAGATAACGTTATAAATATTGATAGTTCTTTTAAAAAAAAGAATGATTAAACAAAATCTTTTAATTTACTCCCTTTTACATTTTTAAGTGACTTTTCACTCTCAGATAATTAATTATGAATCAAACTTGAAAATGTTTGAGATGACGATGAGAAAATAATTCCCATGACTGTAGTAAAGTTAATACAATTTTAAATAAATTCAGAAGATTGTAAGAAGTAAAGATTTAAGAATAAACAATAAACTTTTCTGATAATATTTTTATTGAATTTCTAAGAAAAATTTATAAACTTTCTGGGAATAGTTGTATAATATAAATAACAAAATTTATTTATATTTAAATGGATTCGAAATAAATCTTATAAACATGATTTGGATTAATTAAATATTTTCAATTCGAACGTAAATAAAATTATGCTCTTTTTAGCATCTGATGAAACAAATTTACTTCGTTATCTGTTACAAAAAATTGAAAATAGAGTAAGATGTCTCAATATTAACTTACTGCTTTAAATCGATGTGACCGTGTAACTGACTATGATTTAAACCATTTTTTATTTTTAAAAAAAAACAGAAAGGAAAAAGACATGATTATTGTGATGCCACAATAGGCATTACAAATTTTCCAGCTTTTGAAATTTCTCTAATTTCTTAAACTTATTTTTTTAATCATTCTTAATCGAATTGTAATTAAATTAAATCAATTAGTTAATTTCTATTGAAATTTTTAAAAAGCAAACATAAAATATTTTATTCTTGTCTTATTGATCAATGTAAAGGCTTACTTTTTATTCCAATACTAATGTAGGCTCATTAATTCACTGTCGCGCCTGATCGAAAACAAAAATCTATTTATAACTCTTTATTCTTAATTACTTCCCACAAATATGTTTTAGTTACATGGTTATACTAATTCTCACAGTCTTGTTGGCGATTCACAATCGCCAAAGTATTTTCAAAACTAACACTGATTATGGGGGGTTGGTTTTATTTCTAGCTATGTTATCTTTCGATAATTCGCCCACCTTGGATCTCCTCCCCATGCTCCTAACTGTCCGTTGGAAACAAATTCATTCACTTTTCAATTTCGAATTTGTGGTGACTGGGGGTGCCCTTTTGGGCTTCCCAGTCTCTACCGTTGAATATAAATCTCAACTAAAAATTCTCGATGTAGAGATTGTTCTCATGATCCCTTTAAGAGATTTATTTTCTTTATTATTTTTATATTTTATATATGTTTATTTTTAATTTACTAATATTCGCTTAATAAATCAAATTTTTACCTAAACGATTTTATTCATTTCTTTGAGATAATTAACATTATGTTACATTCAAATTAAGATGTATGTGTAACGGTCGAAAGTCAATGGTGATACTTCACCTACCACTGAAATATTAGTAATGGCGATCACCGCCATAACAATTATTATTTCAAGCAAATCAATACATATAGTGAAAATTAAATATATTCATTAATGGCATCAAATAATGTTAATTATGACCTTTTCATACATACAGACAAACAAAAGGGAACTCATTCTCTTACATGTATTTACAATATAACATTTTCATATTAACTTTTTGTTTGCATTTTAAAATTAAATATAAAGTAATGTATAAATATATTCAAACCCTTCAGTTATTCTATTTTTATCACGGAAGGAAAGTCCATAATTTTAATCGTTCATTGATATTATTATTTAATATTAATTAATATTATTAATTAATTAATAACTCAATTACTTTTAATGGGACATAAGAAATAAAATACTCTTTTATTCAAATAAATAAAATAAAAAATACGGTTTAAACCAAAATTCCCTGATTTAAACCAAACCAATTGGGTATTTTGGCGACATATCAGTGAAGTTATTTAATATGTCAGCTAAAAAATTAAAAATACTACAGTGAAATTAATATAACTTATGGATGTGAATTAAAATAACTGAAATAATTAATATTCTATTAAGATAGCTCTGATATTAAAATTTAAGTTATTTATTTAAAATAATTTTTTTAGTTGAATATTTACAAATAAACTAAACATAATAATTATTGATAATAATAATTAATAATAATAATTAATAATAATGAAAATATTTAGCCTGAATCAGACAAAAATTTTTAATCCATAGCATTTTGTAGAGAGACAAAAAATAAAACTAAAGTAAGTAATGCTAATTCAGTTATTAAAAGTGGCAATTAAAAATGACCCAATACACTTAATAATACAAAAAATAATTTTAAAAACACTGAAAAAATGAATATTTAATATTGCATGTTTAATTAAGTTATCATAGATATTAAAAACTGTTTAAATTGATTCATGAATTATTCAGGTCAGTTTAACCATGCATGTTTATGCGGTGTTTAATAGAACTGAATTCAATCTACATATAAATAATAATTACCGTTTTCTATAGCATTTCGTAATTGACTCTTCTGACAAAATATTTATATTAAGTTATTAATTTTTATAAGCTTTATTTGCGATGACTGTTAGAAAAAAGATATTGCTACATTATTGTTTCTATTTATATTGCTAAAAATAATAATAAAATGATTGAATAATATGTGAACTTAATATTGGTATTTAAAAGGATTTATACAATGTTCAGTAAAATCTAAATGTTGTTTAGCTGAATATTTGCAGTTAAAAAATAATTGAAGGCATTTTCAATTTCATTTCAACAGAAATGTTTAAGCTTCTCTTATTTTCCACAAAATCTCGTGATAAATTTTCTTCTTTAAGAAAATTAACTTAAATAAAGTATATTAGGAGTATATTCAGAGCTATTGTAAATTAATGGCACTGAAAAAAACACTGATTCAGAAAAAAAATATTACTTAATAAAATAAAAATAAAAAATAAATTTGGTACTAAAACAAATTAAATTTCATTCATGAAAAACATAATTTCAATTAAATCCAATTAACTGAATTTTTGCAATCCATATGTCAATTGCACAAAACTTCTTTATCTTTTCTTAAAAATATGTCTAAGATAATTTTATTTTCTTCAATTTATTGCAATTAATATCTCTTATAAAAAATTGAAAACACAATAAATCATATAAAGAAAACTGTTTAAGATAAATGTTGAAAATTTCTGTTACTACAGTACTGTTAATATTATAATACAAAAATTTACATTTACGAAAAAAAAACGGAAAAAGGGAAAGATTTAAGATATAATAAAAAAATAATATAAATAATTAAATTCATTCAATTCATTCATTTTATTTCGTAAAAACATAATTTGTTTTAATTTTGACATATTTGAAATTCTATTATGAATGGTAGTATTTTCCATTTTTTATTTGGAAAAAAATTTTTTATACAATTTTTATTAAAACATATGTCTAAAATGTTTAATATTCTAAAGTATTGTTAAATTAACTTCTCTGAAAAAATTTAAAAAGTAAAGCAGCCTTTTGAAATGACCATTCAAATATTTATAATACTTCAAAAAAAACATTTTGAAAAAACATTTGATTGAAAAAACATTTTGTTTGGTATAAAATTATAACTCATATTAAATGTTTCTTAAACATTTTAACTTAAGAGAGATTATTGCAGTTTAACTATATGTTTCCAATTTAAATATTAATGAAATATTCATATAATAATTACTTTTATTAAATACATAAAAAAAGTCTAAACAACTTATATTGTCTTTAACAATTTTCTAACTTCTCTAAAAAAATATAGTTTATTGACATAAAAAATATCTTTAATGTTAGAATTAAAATTGCATCTTAAATTTATGCGAATTTCAAAAAATAATGGCGGATTCAATAATATATAAAAAGAAATGATCATATTAAAATTAATTAAGAATCTTATAATAGATAAAAATGGTCAAATCAATTGATAAAA